TGTTTTTAATGGTTTCTTGTTACTTTTTAAATAATTTCTTTGTGCTATACTAATATTCCATACCCATCCTTTCCTGTCAAGAAATGCTCATACCTCCTCGCGGTTCTTGCTGGGTAGTAACAATTTATATTAAGTGAACTTGAATACTGTATCTACTGTATGTGTAGTTAATATTTTAAATTCAATACTTCTATTTCAAGTTAATACTTTTTTCTACAATTGGTGAATTGTTGTTAGCTAAACTGAGCACAAAAACCTACATTGAAAAAGTAAACAAGCGAGAAATCCAGATAAATCCGGCTCTGTGTTCTGCAGCGTCTTACCCCGCACGTCCTCACTAAAGCGGTTTCTCCTACTATACCTACCCTTTTGTCGTCAACCAAAAGCGACATAAGAAATCAGGAAATATTTGCCTATCTCTTATGTTACTTTCCGGGATAGACCAATTAAGATGTATTTCCACTCAAAAAATTGACCCTAGTTAACTTTCTAGACCTCCAGAAAAAACATATTGCAGTCATGAAACATCATAAAATATTAAAAATGTTAATGAAATTTGTTTTAGAAACGTTAATAATATAAACAGATTAAGGAAAATTTTGAAGGAAAATAAAATAGGAAGTTGTTTAAATAACATTAACCGACAGTGTTGCATGCAATCTCTAAGATTATTACCCTGAATTTGTTTTGCTGAAGTCTCCCATTGATCAAGACGTCTTTTAATAGAATACTTTTATGGCAATAGTAATCCAGTGGAAACCCCGTATTAACTACATAATGTTTTCCTTTCAGTCATTAAGTGATAACAAAACGTGGTTTCATTTAAAAGTTGTAATAAAAAATCCGATAAGTAAACGCTTATTCAGTCATTCGCATTTACTGTAACCGGTAAAATCGCAGGGAAATGACAAAATAACAAATACATAATATGCACTGGGTGTGCTGTGCTTTAATGGCCATTATCTCATAACGGCGGCATTTAGCCCGTGAAATATTGAACAGTAGATGGCACACATGCCGCTCCCGATACAACCCGTTCATTAAGCTGCATGCCGTTATTATTTATCTTCCCATTAACCACGTTCATTACCTTTTTTAACACTCCTATCAGCCCTCTGTGTTCTCGTCATTGAATTAGATAATACTGTTTTGTCTAATTTATTAATTTTTTTGTTTGGTCTGCTAATTGCTGTATCAGCTTTTACTCTGTTTATATCTGTTTTGTTTATGTGCAGAGTAACTCACTTACCATTAAGCTCAAGACTGAGTGGTTGCTACTAAGGAAAGAACTGTGTTAGATATGAGTTTAATAAATTAATTGACATTGCCTGAAAACTTCGCAAGAAAGGGATAATGGGTTTTTCAGCTACAGGAACTTGTCTATTTATCAGAGAAATATAATAACTGACATGTTTCGGTCTATTCCCTCTTGATAATAAAAACTTTTTCAAAACTATCAATTGCATTATGTTAAAAACGAAAGATTAGGTTTTTCGGCCCTTCAAGTGCTGCTGCTACAGATCTTTGAGCTTTGGTCTACTTTAATATAGGAAAATCTGGCACCGGTTATTTATTTTAACAATAACAGCAAAACAGGGAAGCTCATACAGGATGATTCACGAGCAATGTAAGCCTAAAGGCAGATAGAGGGCCTCTAGTTCTACAAGGAAAACATTTTTTTGACCACTGGTTAAGAAGATACAGGGTGTTATATGCATTTGGTCTGACAATTCAATGAGCTATTCTCTGCATGGGATTGAATGTAATCGAATGAAATTTTCCTGTAACATTCCTCACCTACACCTTGTCAGAATGGCCCACTTGGTTTTGAAATATCCAGGGCCGGACTCATTAAAAATTTACCCTCCTCATTTTTTGCCAAAAAGTACATTTTTCTATAGCATTTCTGGAAAATTATTAGCAAATTCGAAAAGTTTAGAAAATATGCTATCAGAATACCAAGTCAATTTTGACGCCACACAAACCGTTTCGGGAAAAAAATCACAAAACAATTTAGCGCATCACAACTAACATTTTGACTGGGCATTAATTATGGAACAGTTTGATAGAGTCTATTCAAATGTTTCAGATCCATATCCCTTCTGAGACATAGCAGAAAAACAGCAAAAACCTTTCTACCTAGTAGGATATCTGGAATATACACACCTGTAGGTATTTCATCCATATTTGTGTTATTTTTAAAACAACAATTTTTCTTGAAAACAACTGCTATGAACATATATCACTGCAAAATAAACACGAAAGTATAATCACAGAAGTATAATTCGAACAGCACACCCCGTGACTTTGATGACTTACGAGTCTTACATAAGCAGCATAGTGCGCACTCATGTTTTCTTAGTCTTACAGCGGTAGTTTAACTGTTTTATTTTTTTTGGATTTTCACCAAGTTTTGAGGCAAAATTACCCATTGTGAACCGTCTAGAAAGTTAACTGTTTTTGGTCGATTTCTTGAGTAGAAAATACATGTTTACTGGTATAGCCTGGTTAAGTGACATAAGGGATCGATAAAGACTTTATCGCCTTTTGTTACTTTGGTTGACAAAACTGTATCTGATAACAATTAAAAACGATTAATCCAATTTTCCTTGAAGGTAAGCTTCTGTCAGTCGAATTTTATGAATTTGAAGTTAAAAAGTTTTTTGAGACTAGAGAGACAACACATCGGGACCGTCTCTTTACTGGGCTTACTGGCCCACTGGTTTTCAGGGCTCGCCCTGGAAATTACCAACTCGCCCAATAAAGAATCACTTGCCGGTCTTATTACGTAAATAACCATTTCAATTAACAGGTGGTGTTGCCGAGACAGTAAAGGACAAACTGAAAATAGTTTTAAAAAACAACCTGGATTTTTTTACATTTTCGTGTGTGGTGAAACTTTTGAATGGCGAAGAAGTGGACTTTTCTACACCAAAAATGTGTCGCCTCTGCGTTAATTACATCGGTAGACGATGAACGGTCTTTTTCACAATGTAAATGAATATTTAGTGAAAGGCGCCAGATTTAATTTCGAATCATTTGCAACAGATAAAAATAATATGTTTTTATTCTAATGTTTTTTTTTCTTAAAAATGTTTTATTAACCGCCACTCAAGTCACCGAAGCAACTCCCAGAAAATCCTAGGATTTTGTATTGAGTAAAGAGAGACGAGGTCCTACAGTTTATTGTGGAGTTCGAACCACATCTAGGGAATCGACAGTTCTTTTCCATCCTAATCCGAAACAAATTACAAATAAAATTTCTAACTTGCTCCGGGATGGATTCGAACCATCGATATTCGGTACCGAGTAAATAGCACTTTACCCACTCAGTTACCATGCCTAATGTTTATAGTTACCACGTGAATCTATTTGTGCTAGTGTTACATCCACCAATTAATATATCCACACCTCATATATCGTATTTATGACCATTTAGCCGCCATTTAACCTTGACCTTTACGGAATTCACTAAACATAATTGCAAGTTAAGATATTGTGCTAGGTATTGTGCATGAAAATAGTAATATTGTTCATATCGTCTAGAGATCATATCCTGGTTTTGACGTCATTACGACCTTGGATCCAGGGCAACGGCCTGTTGACTTATGCAAAAAATACATTTCTTGATTAATACACTCTTCGTACTAATAAATTTTTGTTGGATTTTGTTGCAGTTACTGTTTGCATAGTATAGTGTACAGATATTTTGGTGCTTTTTATAATTTGACGAAATGAAATTAATGCCGCCAATCGTTTCGATTATTAGAACAAACGGTGTTGATTATCAACACTGCCTGCTCTTTTTGTCACATTTAATTGTAAAATACGCCAAATTATTTGTACACTAGTCTCTTCACTTTTGTCAGTTTATCGTTCTTTCCGCTTTCATATTTCTATGTTCTGCTTTATTTATGGGTTTATAAGCCAGACAAATTTTTGAAAAATCATAAGCAAATTATCTCAATTGTTAAGTGGTTTATTTGTTTGCTACAAAGTGATTATTTCAGATTAGTTCTATTCACAAATTGTGCAGGACAAAGACGTCATTCATTTTTTATTATTATTATTATTTTCGTAAAATTTGTACCATACAATTGGCACAATTTTCAGCACAGACTCGACATCGACTTCATTGTATGTAGGAAAATAAGTTAATTGCCTCTAGAGGAGCACTGAAAATAATGTCGCATGTTGTGCCTCTCCACTTGATGACCTAGTGGAGGCGGAGACGCCTTCAGCAGCGAGATGTGCAAGTAATCTGACGAGGAGTCTGTTAATGTTTCCCCAGCGGGTCGTTACGCGGTGCTCTTATCGCCGACTGGGCCACTGATTGCTTCATTTCAGACAATTGCCTGTTTATATTCGGCGGACCGCAACCGCTTCTTATCCTGATAAAATCGGGACCTGTTCCTGGAGCACACAAACCAACTGCACTCCGATGTCCTTAGCTACATCCAGATCGACCACTTTAAGCAAAATATTTACCTTTTCTTTTTTAATGGGAATTGTTCTGTTGTAGTCAACTTATAAACCACATATATTCAGGAGTACGGAATTCTGTACAACTATACATATCTAGATATCGTCTTTCATTTTCTTTTTGATGGTGGAAACCACATTCTCTATTATAGAACAGTCGTAAGCATACACTGCTTAATTTTTTCGTTATTATTACTCTCGAAAAAAAAATAACGCAAATGTGTTCATTAAAAGATATAAAAGTTTCTACTGAAAGCAAAAAAATAAAAAAATATCAAATCAATAACCTACTGACGAACCAAACTAATATTATCATTCACTTTCTGTAGGCGATTTCCCATAGAAAGAATTAGATTTCTGAAATAATAGGTGTTCTCTAGCTCTTGCCATGCCTCAAGAAGAGAATTACAGAATTCATGTCTATTTACAGGTCTGAAGTTTAGGGAGTATATATTTTTCACCAAATAACCCCAAATATTCTCTGCCGGATTGAGATCTCTCTTCGCCAATGAAGCTATCATGTTAATACTGTTCCGATCTACCTAATTCCTGATAATTTTAGCAGTATGGGCTAGACAGTTATCATTCTGGTATAAAATATTGTGTTGTGGGAATCGTACAATACTGATGGTAGCATTGTATCTTGTAAAATATTTTTGGTAAACTTTTGCAGTCTGCCGCTCTTCTACTCTGAGGCATAGCTTAGGTCCATCAGTAGTTATCCAACGCCAAAAGTTTACCAAGAACCTTTTATTGGATCTGTCTTGTTGAACATATTATTTCTCTTGAAATCTGCGGTGATTATTTTGCCTATATATTCACATTTTGCCACGATGACATAATTGAAAACTCTTTTCATCCGTGAATACTATGGAACTCCAGAAGTTATCATCTCGGTCCATGTATTCGTGTGGAAACTGTAGTCGTCTCTCTTTATTCAATTCAGTCAATGAAGATTTTTTCTCCGCTAATATACTTCTAATTTAGAAGTAGAGAAGTCCATGTTCTTTGAGTCTTCTACGAGTTGACCAAATTGATCCAGGAAACTGAGTATCCTCCTTTGCTTTGATTGCGTAGCAAAAGGATTGTCCATAATATGATTAATTAAATTTATTAATTAATTATCCCACTATGTAGCCGAAACTTGTTTTACACCAGTCCCTGGAGCCCTTTGATACATTTGATGTTCATGCCATGTTTTTTAACATGAACGATATAGGATTTCCTTACATTTAGATCACACGATACTATAAACATTTTTGTAATTTTTTTGGCCTTTTGAGTTTCTGACAAAAATATTTGACGCATTCTTCCACCTGATACGCTCGATTAATTATTATGGCTATAGATCGGTAGGTAGCGATAAATTAAACACGTAATGAAACAATCCCAAACAATATGAAATGATAAAATAGGTATTGTTATGTACAAGAGTATCACACGAGAATTGACCTCTTTGTAACTTTTTTAATTTTCGAGTTAAATAATTGGCCATGTAAAAAAAATGGGACTTAAAACTTTGTTATGTTAAATACCACACTAAGCATGGATAGAACTTCATCCTTGGAATTGTATTTGCTTAATTTGGTGTGGATTTCCCAATGTCCCGTATTTTGTTGTGGTAAAGGTGTATTCATCTATCCATAATATAAAAAATGTTTTGACCTCTTCTAACTTATTTGTCATATACAGTGTGGAAAGTAGTCACGCATAAATTCCGTTGATATTAATTTTTTGGAAAAAATCTCGAAGGGGTATAGTGATTTTAACTTCAGCAAATATTTTCAGTCTATTTTCAGTTTCTTATTTCATTTATTTTTTTAATAACAACCTATATTTTTTATTATTGATTTTGGTAGTAGTTTTTATTCCGGTTCTGACCGTATAAAATTTTCAATATGTTATTATTTGAAAAAAATCGAGAAAAACAGTTTTAAAGTTCAAATAACAAAAATTCGTTAAATTGGGAAAATTTATCTAGTTACCGTGTATCACTTAGCGTTTTTCAACTATTTAACAAACGGGCGATTTGCATTAGGCCATACAGCTTCTACTCACATGATGTGGTTTGGAAGTAAAATATTTAAATACTCTCAATTTACATTCTTAAAATTACTTTATTAATGGTTCTTGCTTTTGTAAAACTATAACTCCTATACTAAAATCAATAGACTAATGTAACCGTTTTTTCACGAGGAAATATGAATAAAACTTTTCGTAACTACTGCAATAAATGTTAATTTTACATTTATTTATTATTTCGCTAATATACACTCACAAGAAAAGTCCAGGGATATTTTTACAAAATTATACAAGACATAAAAAACACATTTGCTTGTTTCTTTTCTAAATCAATTTAAAAAAAATACGTATATTTATAAAAATGTCCCTAGACTTTTCTTGTGAGGACATGAAAGAAATCATGTTTGTGTAGTTTATCATTTTATACGTATTATAGGATTTATACAGGGTGTTCTAGCACAAATAGCATTCTAAATAGGTATTTTACTATCGAAGAAGAAACAATCGTAATGGAAGAGAATAGCCCTTATTAAAAATGCAAATCACTTAACGGATGGTCAACATAAACTTTAAGGATGCCAAACAATTTATATACAGGGTGTCCTATAATTAAGTGCCTCTATTCAAGAGGATAATAGAACTATAAAAAAATAAGTTGAGTTTTGTATATAAACATTTGCCTTAGATCAGCTTATAAATAAAAGTGCGGAATTATTTTTATAGAGGTATGTAGTTACCTATCGATTATTGTATACCCATCTTGCATTGCAATATTTAAACAAATAACTTTAAAACAATAGCTTATATCGACATTTGGTAAGGAGACCTTTTTATTCAGTTTTTAACACTGGCGTTTTTCTTTCCGCTATCAATGTGTAAAAAAAATAATACAAAGAGTTATGGCGAAAATTCATCCCCACCCCTTTGTAATTACTCGAACAAATCATGATATGTAGATACAAATTTAACAAAATATGTAACATTATAATGGTCCAAATTTAATTTTTGCAACTTAAGACGTTTCGAATTTATTGGCAAATAACTTTGTTGTATTTACCATCCTTTAAGGAATTGTAGCATCCTTATGAGCTGATTTAAGGCAACTGTTTATATACAAAACTCAAATAATAGAACCCCAAGATACGTTGTGTTAAAAATAATCGACTATATATTGCTTTACATAAATCTAATAACAACCCGTCGCCGCCTGGCTGAAATTATCAGTGTTGAATTAAAAAATATGGATTTACAAATCGAAAGCACCAATAATCATTTAAAAATTGACTAAATTTTTCCTAAATTGACTAATTTGTAATTTATCTACAACATACACACATTTTAAAATTTATTCTGTAATATCTTTAAAAATGATTCAAAATAGATCCAGAAGAGCATTTGTCTAATTTTAAATACAAAACTAAAGATTTTATTTTTTTTTATTCTCTTTCGTATTTTATTTATACTTTCAAATTATATTCTTAAAATTACTTCATTAATGGTTCTTGTTTTTGCAAAACAATACCTAACTCCTATACTAAATTCAATATGTTTAATGTTTGCAATAATATAACAGTTTTTCACTTAGCTTTCGACATCACGAGGAAATGAATAAAACTTTTCATAACTACAATAACTTTTATTTGTACACTCTTTACATGAGAAGGCCATTCCTCCTCATTTCTTATCGTTACCCATTTTTTAAAATAAGATAGAATGCATACAATTGTCACAGTAAACCAATTATGCGTAAAGCACTTACACCACGAATTATTTTTTATTTCGCTGATAACATACACGCCGCTCTGACGGCCACTACTACACTGATGCTTTTCATTATAA